TGGCGAGCGGACTATACGCTACTTTAAAAATACACATGAGACTGTTCATCAACGAGAACGATAACGTATCGCTGCTCAAAGTTCCGCAAAGGCTGCCACGGGACCATACCTTCACCACCGCTACCATGGCTACTCTACCGTGCGTTCTCACACGTACCGTAGCACCGTTATTACAAATACTCTTGTCGACGTCACGGACTCCATGAAGGCCTCGTTGACACGCTTTCCATCGAGCAAGTCGACCTACCGGCAAGGCAGATATGGGAAGCATTTCTAGGCGAGTGCTTCAGTAGACTAAACAAGACAACGTAGTACGCGGTCGTTCAAGCAACAAGTCATTTGCTGTGTTCAGTGAGCGCTGAATCAGTATGTCAACAGCGACGTGCATGGAGCTGTCGAAATACAGCCTCTTTCACTTGCGCTGAGTGAAGCCGTCCATTCACCATGCGACCTTCACGGTACCAATGCAAGCAAGCCAAGGTGCTTGTTATAATGGGCCCATCTATCACTATATGAACCGGTTACGCTTTAGTGAAACCTCATTGATGGCGCTTTCCGCTGGATTCCTTGTGGCTACAAGCAATGTATCATCTTCATGATTTACGATCGTGCTTCAGGCATATTTGTTCCTGTGTACGGTGTGATCAGGACTGTCCGAACCGGGGATTCCTCTTGATACATGCTACATTTTGTGCTTCAAGCTAACCGCCCAATAGATCCAACCGGATGAGATTATCTGTGATATTTTATAGTGTTTTAATGCGCGCTATGCGTACCTAGTTGGCTCGAACCCCATTCGACTAAATACGAAAGAGCAACTTCAGTGCGCTTTTAGCATTATCACAACATCGAACGAGTTTGAACATCCTTTCTACGTCCACCTATCCCAGGCTCCAAGATTCATTAGCATTGCCCATGTAGAATAATCGCAAGGAGCTCTCGACAAATGCTGCTTTTGGTAGTCGATAGTTTAAATATACATATTCTGTAATTTTTATACTTATGTTTATAATATCCTAGTTTAAAGAAAATGGGCAATAGCCGGGTCAATCGACACTAAAAGACTGGAACGTGGACAAGGTCTGGAAAAAAATACCTGAAACGTGTTCTAGAAGTAGACGCATCCCTGCTGGTCGGTCACGAGCGAATGGCCTCGCGCTCAGCACTGACTGAGGTATAAAAACTCAAACAGAACCATAAAGATATGCGATACTTTTTTTCGGAGTTGGTTTCATCCATTTTCAATTGTGACTACTTTTGGATAAATTATCAGCTTTAAATAGTTATAATCAAAACCAAGCACCTATTTGTTGCGTGTTTCAATAGTATTTTCGATTTTCTCTTCTAAATGGCAAGTTCTAACGTCGACCAAGCTCTTCCCAACGCTTTCTTCGCGTTTTTCGAATGGTGCCAGGAGCAACGCTGGTGGGATCGCCTAGATGAGGCTGCCCGCTATCTGAGGAACTGGGTCCTCATTCGGCGAAACGACACCTCATGTACTGCTGACGCAATCAATCGGCCGCTTGACGTAGTACAGCAAGCCCGCATCACCGAGGCTCGTCTCATTGGGGCGCCCGCACAAAATGATGATACCTGCGAGCACGAGTGGGTTCTGCCTTTTGGTATGAACCGTCGAGGTCTTCCTACGTTCCAGATGCGCACCATTTTGGATGACGAGTGGGTCGATGGAAGAGTGGTTTTCTAACATAATGGGAGCCAACATGGGGGCCTACGACTAACCTGTCATCTAGTGAGATAAAGAAATATCGCCAGCGTAAAAGACGCAACGTAGCGCATGCTTACATAGGAACTGAGGTTAAGGAAGAGTAAGCAGATAACAGAAACAAAATAGTTGCTTAAAGTTTATTGCATTTAAGAGAATGTCGAGTCCTAAATCTTGGTGATCTTGCCTGTTATGAGTGCTTTTCCATTGTCACAAAGCCATCCGCTAGATCAGTACAGGGACTAGCCCATCAACCCGCCCTACACAAGCGTTGCAGCGACAAATCCACACCTGTACGTCGAGTCGTAGCCGCATGTAGTGTCTGCTGTGGCTGATAGTGTCGGTAGAGTTGTAGCTACATGTGTCAACCGTGTCTGTGACCCGTTTGAATTGTGTCAACGCGAGCACAGGCGATAGCTGATCTGTCCCTCCGATGATCGTACCTTCTTCACGTCAAGTCGACACCATAGTTGGATGGATACAGTCACATTTCCAACTACCTTAGTGTCAACTTGACACCAGACTTATATCCATCACTAAACACTTCCCCTATCCCTTAATAAAGTTGACAAAGGACATAGCATGTTGCTTTTGTCCGGAGAGACTTGCAATTTCAGTATCGTGTACTTAAGAGCCCCCGAAGGAGTATCTTCACTATTCAGGGCTGCAGTTTTTTTCTGAAGTTGCACTGGTCTACTGTTACGCTGGGGTCGGTGTGCTCGGCGATCATAAGAACGAAATTGCAGCGCTCGTACCAACGGCAGCAATGATGAACAGTACACACGCAGCTTTCGACAATCTCTACCGTTGAGATTGTAGATATTGCAATAATTGATTGTCTTGCTATAAAATGTACAGTCAATAAGAAATCTTTATTATCACAGCTCTGGTTTTTGAGCTTACTAAGTGAAATTTGGATGCTGGAACGGTCCACAAGTGGTGTCACTGACATATTATCAAGTGTTAAGTGGATGTACCGATCGCCATATTTAAGCTGCAACCTATTTAAAGCCCTTTACGAATTAGACCCCCCCCC